ATAAACATGTACATCCGGGAAATACCCATAAACCCTTTTTAAACCCCCAAATTACATAATCTAACAAACTATTTTTCATTACGTGCTAAAATCATCCCTTTGTATATTTTTTTTATCTTTTTTTTTTCATAAATTATGTATTACTTATTAAACCAAATTTCTTTTCAACCCATAGCTCAATTAAAGGCCCCCCATTTACATTTACCCCTGGCACCCCCAAAATTTTAGCAAATACTCCTCTATAACTTTTTTCCCCAACTTTAGAAATTGAAACCCCCAAAACCCCATTACTCTCATAAGAAATAAGAAGAAGGAACACGGCAAAAGGGGCCAAACTGGCCCATCCAAAGGCGGGGGCCAAAGTCCCTACCGGCTTAACCCAAATGCCCCCAAACCTGGGCCCGGGCCCAGGTCCCCTTGGGCCCTTAAGGGGGGAACAGGGAAAACCCAAAAACCTTTTTGCAAAAAAGCATCGGGTTTCCCAACTCACCCCCACCCACACTACTAAAGGTATTTATCCAACCTTTTTTTTTAAACCCTACACAAGTTCGGCCTCTATAACGGTACTTGGGATTTTGGTTCCACTCTTTCCACAACTCTATTCCCAAAACCCGAAACTTTCCTATACCCCTCCTAAATTTCTAAATTTTTTTCCAACTTAAAACCATTGCTGCGAGTCCTGTCTAGGCTAAAAATTTTTAGACACTATTTACATCCCCCTTTTTTTAACCGTCTTCCACTTAAAAACCTCAAACATATCCCCCCTAAAATTTTAAAGTCCCTTTTTAGAGGGTGCAGTTTTTAGGGCCCTTAGTCTATCCTCATGGGGAAAGGGTTTTTATACAGGGATCATCTTTGTCATCCTCCTTTGTCATTTTCCCCAAAAAATTTTATCCATTTTGGAATACGGTGGGCCCAAAAATGTTTCAGCCTTTAATTTTAAAAGAGGCCCCAACCAAGGATGGATAAGGGTTTAAAAAACAACCCGAAAACCCCCCTATTATTTTATGCTTCTTGATATGAACCAAGGGGTTTTTATTAGCTTTAATTTCGAAAACTTATGGGACGGGTTTTCTTGGTTTCAGATTTTCTGTAACCAAAAACCCTAAATCTTTTTTTCGCAATCCGTAATATTAAGATCTTCAATTTTTTAGTTGATATGTGGGATTTGGTTTTTTGTCCCCCGTCCAACATTTAGAACTTTGGGATTTGGCTATATTTTTAAAAAAATGCCTTTTGCCACTTCTCCACCACTGCATCAGCTATTTTAAATTTCCTTGGAGTGCTCGAATGTTTTGTCCCAAAAGAAATTTGACGGCCTATTTTTGGGGTCATCGGCAAAATTGGGCCCATGTCGCTCTTTTCCCCCATCATGTCGTTTTATGTAGTTTTTTGAACAGCAGGGGGGCCCCAAAAATGGGCCCCTGTGGAAAACCGCTCGTTGGGCGCTTCCCCACTCTGATTTCTCCCCCATTTATGGGAAACTCCTGCGGCCCATTTGTCAAACCCGCCCCTATCCAGGAAAAAAATTTTTCCCCCCTATTCCCCTGGCTTTAATTTTCCTCAATGTCTTTTGATGTGGGACCCTGTCAAACCTTACTGAAGTCCTTTTACACCCAATTTTCATAATTTATTACCAAGGGTCTACCTCCCCCAAAAAACCTTAGTGAAAAAAGTTTAAAAAATTGTAAGGGAGGGAAAGCCCCTTTTTTAAAAAAAATGCTGAGATTCCCTTGATTAATTTTGCTTTTCAAGGGGGCTAAAAGAACTGCCTCGGCAATTATTTATTCCAAAAATTTTTTCCCCCATGGAGGTTAAAGGGTTATTGGGCTATAGTTCGAAGCTAAGGCCGTCACCTGTTTTTTAAAAAAGGTATCAAAAATTTGCCTTTTTTCCCCTTATCGGCCCCCGCCAGTTTGTTAAATGATAGTTTAAAAATTAGCCAAAGGTGTGCTAAGGGTCCTCTTTACATTCCTTTAGAAAAACCCTTTCATCCGGGTTCCCTAGGGCCTGGGGTTTTTTTTAGGTTTTTTAAATTTAAATTTTTTGCCCAAGGACCCTTTTCATTTTGACCCCCCAAAGTGCCCAGTTTTTTTAAGTCCCGTTTTACTAATTTAAACCTTACTGGGAAAATCGCTGGGGATCCTCCTGTTTAAAAACTGAAGGAATATGTGTTAAAAATTTTTACACATTTTCCTTTTCACTGTCAGTGAGCCCGACCCAGGAAAATTTTGGTGGGGCCTTTTTTCCCTGATCTTTCTTCTGTAACCCGGGAAAAAATCCCTTTTGGGTTAGTCTTTGATTTTTCTGCAAATTTAACCCCCTTTAAACTCTATTTGCCTTTTTTAATTCCCTTTTTTTTTCCCCTCTTTAATGAAAAATATGATTTTTTAATTGCCCCCCTTTCCCCTTTTGGGTTTTCCTAAAAATATTCCCCTCTTTTGGGGCCAAACAGATATTTTTAAACTATTGTTTTCCCCTTTTGGAAACATTTTTGTTTGATCTGAATTTTTCCCCATTTGGAACATAATTTGAAATGAAAACAGCTAGGGAAATATGCCCTGGAAAAACTCAAATCGGCAAAACCCCCCCCCACCTCCTGAACCCCCACAGGTCATTCCAGTTTTACCCCCCCAAGTAATTTTTTTAGTCCTTTTGAAATCAGCCCAAACAAAAATCAGGGAAAGGAGACTTGATTGCCAAATTTTTAGGGGGAAATTTCCCTGATATGTTAAAACTGAGTGATTTTTGATCACCCCTCCCCAAGCTCATCATTAACCTCAAGATTATTAAATTTGTGTTTCCCCCACTGGCAAGAACCCAAGGCCCGGGGGTTATTTCCCCTATTGGCTCTGTCACAAAAAAATTTTAAAAAAAAAATCCTGGATCGTATTTAAGAAAGTTAAACCCCACTCTAAAATTTTCCCGTCAAATTGCTCCATTCACTCCCATTTTCCCCGGGAAACTCTCTCCTTTCCTCTACACTTCTCTCTTCTCCAGGTGCATACACGCTTACTATAACCCACTTTTCACATCCAATCTTTATTTTACTCCACATAATCCTTGAATTTATACATTTGTAGTCCCTCTTTTCCTGCCATAGCTTATCCTTCAACATTATTGCTACTCCTTCTTTAGCTCTAACTCTATTTGAAACCCCTGACCTAATCCCATTTATTCCTCTCCATTGAAACTCTCCCACCCCCTTCAGCTTCGCTTCACTTAAAGCCAGGACATCCAGTTTCTTCTCATTCATAACATCCACAATCATCTCTTTCTTATCATTTGCACAACATCCACGCACATTCAGACTTCCCACTTTGACAATTTTCTTCTTCTTATATATATATATATATATATATATATATATATATATATATATATATATATATATATATATATATATATATGTATATATATATGCAAAACAACCACTCTGAAAGAATAGAGAAATTCCAAGCGCTTTCGTGACTACTCACATTATCAAGGAACAGTTCCTTGATAATGTGAGTAGTCACGAAAGCGCTTGGAATTTCTCTATTCTTTCAGAGTGGTTGTTTTGCATATTCTGAAATCAACTGTTTACTGTGATCTTATTGCATATATATATATATATATATATATATATATATATATATATATATATATATATATATATATATAAACACTGATCTCTGGCTGAAGGAGACTCGAACCTACGAACCTTAGGACAAGGTACTGCGTACCTTGTCCTAAGGTTCGTAGGTTCGAGTCTCCTTCAGCCAGAGATCAGTGTTTGTGTATATTTCGCATGCTCTCGCGAATTCCTTGCATATAATATATATATATATATATATATATATATATATATTATATATATATATATATATATATATATATATATATATATATATATATATATATATATATATATATATATATATATATGTATATATATATATATATATATAATATATATATATATATATTATATATATATATATATATATATATATATTTATATATATTTATATACATGGGCTAGTGACGTCACGACCTAACAAAGGTGCCAAGGTCACAGGTAGTGATGTCACTCCATAAGGTATATACGTGCACTAGTATTGAGTGATTACATCCAATTGTCTACTTAGATATTAAATTTTATTTTATTCGCTGTAGTAATACATCTTGCTAGCAGCTGCCTTGGCGCAGGTTCGTGGTTGTACGACTCCTCAGTCACAGTTTGTAGCATTCACTAGTGCAAAAAATGTAGTTTATCAGACTAAGTGAATATCAAGCCTAGTATATAAGATTTGCCTTTCCATTTATTTCCTCAGGCTCTTTTGCATGTTAGCTGAAGAGAACGCATTTAATATTCAATGACTTTGTCCTATGTCTCATCACCATGAAGGCCTCTTGGTTTCCAATATATTTTTCATAACTGTTGTCACCCATTATCAGCAGCTTTGCACACATTCTGTCAGTAATCAGACATGCTTTATGTCATCATTTCATTGTATTCCTGTTATGATCTCTTGCCATTTGGTGTCAGACTGTATTAGACAGTAACGACCGTGTTTGGTCTAGCCGTGATCATTGATCATGCATTGTCTGAACAAAGAGCAATTTAGTGTTTCCAACTATTCCAAACTCCATTGCTCCATGATGAAGAGTGTTACATCCACTCCCTCTCACTGTATTACTTGGTATTACTTTCTATTACTTTTTATTCTGTGAGCATTGCATTTGGTAATTTTCATTGTTTTAGTTTTTTGTAATTGCTTTAGTCTTCGTGTTAATATTGTTTGTATTCATGTATATATGAATTTGTGGTTCCTTGTTTAGTGTAGGGGATTTCTTGACAAAGTTGAAACGCTGCCAAAATTATGGAAATAGATGATGGTGTTGGGGTAGATTGTGTTTCTCTTGAACTAAATAGAATTTTGGGGGGCTGTAGGATAGGGATGGAGAGTAGGAGTGTCGAAGATGACGGGGGAAAAAGTTGGTTGGGAGTTTGACGGTGAGAGTTTAGTGGTTGCATTTTTTCTTAATTTATTATCAATTACTCTGTTGTTAGCTTGTGGCCGGAGCGAGAGAAGTGGTGAACTGCATGCTGGGGGACCCAACGTTGCTGCGGCCAGACCTTGCTCTCTCCAAGATGTGAGTGTGGCCAATTTTGCTTTCTTTTCTGTAACATTTAATTAAAGTAAAATCTCTCTCTCTCTCTCTCTCTCTCTCTCTCTCTCTCTCTCTCTCTCTCTCTCTCTCTCTCTCTCTCTCTCTCTCTCTCTCTCTCTCTCTCTCTCTCTCTCTCTCTCCTCCCTCCCTCCCTCCCTCTCTCTCCACCCTTTCCTCGAGGGAGGTTCGCTTTAAGGAACAATTGATTTAAATACCCTTCACATGCCCTAAATTGATTTATTCAAGATCGTACTACTGTAATGCATCAAATATCAATAAGAAATGCCTTTGTCGATTTGATATTGTTCGCATTATTTAATATTTTTTATTTTATTTTATGATACGTAGATTTATTTTGATCATTTTTCTTTGTATTTTATTAAATTTTATTAATTGATAGCTAAAACCATGATTGCCAGACCCAGTATTATTGTGCCACATCACGAGTCCTTTATTGTCGAACTTTTGTTAATAGTTTTACGATGATAGTTTTACGTTACTGTGAAATTATCAAGTTTTCTTACTGACCCTGAAATCCTCCCCAGGTATACTCCAGGTATATTTATAATATGATTGGTTTTGTTAGACCTGAATGTAATATCAATTCATGTTAAGTAGCAAGTGGTGTAATGAATGAGTGGGTGGTTGGTACAGGCTGGGGGTGGAAGACCGCAAGCTGCCTGTGTTGGTGTGGACACAACACCAGCGTGATGTGGGCGGGGAGGTGGTGAGTGCCGCCCGTGTCAGCGGCCTAGCCGGCATCACCAGGGTCGTTGTGGCACCCATACAGTGCAAGGTAAATTACTATCCAGCCCTTTAACTACGGGCGTTTTTTAATTTATTAATACAACATAAAAGGCCACCCTCGTCAGTTTGATAAGTTGTATCGTGTTTCTCTTTTATAAAGTTGACTCATAAATCACATTGAGTATGCAATTGTTTGATATGCATTTTTATTGTTTTGTAATAAGTATTTATTTCGTGAAGGTTTTTACTCTTAAAAGTATAAATATCAATATCAGTAATGGTGGATAAAGTATTGATGTGTACTGTAAATAGATCAAAATTCCGGGACTGGAAAGAGTCACAACTAACACTAATTCACAAGAAATGTCTTGATAATGGTCCAAGACGGACAGGAACTTCAACCAGTTTTAACTGCTAATTTGTTTGTTAGTCGTGAAAGCAACAGTTGGAAGATATAAATTATTTGTAGCAGTAAATAATGAGGACTTACACGTTATCCCATTCATCCAGATGCTGCATGACCCATTACGGGTTTAGTACTTCCCCATGAATATATTACTAATTATAAGTGTAGTTTAATGGTAGGATGTGTGTTTGTTAGGTTAGTGGTGGCGGCGCCGGGGAGGCGGGCGTGCCGCCCCTGGCCACCGTGCTGGCCAACGCCGTGCAGCAGGGAGGCTGGGTCCTCGTGCAGGTCAGTACCACACACTTCAAAGGCTGGAAGGGCGCAATGATGCTACTGAAAGACTCTCGATTAAGATATAGAAGGTACTCACCCTTACTTGGGGCAAACCTGTTTACCTCACATTCCGCAAACGCTGATTAACTCCAACGGGTTTAGCGCTTCTTCATAACATATTAGTCCGCGATTTAGGTGTAGCGACGACACAAAGATCATTAAGGTCACAGTTTACCTGTATACAGAGGTCATTAAGGCCAGATATGCACCACTGTATATACATCCGAACAACCATACACATTCCTCTTTGCTGTATAATAAATTTGAATTTATTTATATGCCCTCTTGCATATAAATTCATAACCACAACAAACATAGATTTGGATTTTAAAATATAAATAATTGATGTACCCGATTTATTTCTTTATAAAAATAAACAGTGTTGTTAGTCGAGCGACGTGCATGCACAGTGAATGCCACAGTATCCTGGAGCTCGGTACATTACTATGTATCCAGCTGCATTATAATTCACACAGTACGTGGAGGCATCATTCACATTGCTTATTTATGGATTGTCACAGAGAGCTGTTTTCTCACTCACGAGATCAAAACTCAAAATCTCTTTACTGACAGTAAATCAATTACAATGTTTTTTTTTCTGTAAATGAGCACACGAATCATCAAAAGGCTTATTATGCACATAGTTCTTTTTTTTTTCTTACTCTATCCGTATTTGACTAATGTTTCCAAGAGATACTGATATTCACTAAATCAAAACAACTTGTCACCTTATTTACTAAAGATCGATAGTTAATTTCTCAAAGTATGTGTGTTACGTAACTGAAATTTGTTATAATACCTGATGTATACTGCAGGGAGCAGAGTCACCTGCCGTGCTGCCCACCCTGCTGGCTGCTATGACCTCCCTAGGCTCCCCAGATGTCAAGGTCAGTGCCGGAAGGTCGTCTCTTAGGAGGGGGTATCAAAGGTGCGCTTGAGCGTGCTACAGGTGTTTTGAAGTTGTATCTTGCTAGTGTTATGTTCTCTGGCCCACAAGATGAATAATATCTGTTAGTGTTATAAATAACTGTTCTTAAGTTAGAGAGAGTGGTACCTGCTGGGTATTATAAATAACTTTGGTCTTACAGGTTATAGTGTCTGCTGGTGTTGTATACACCTCTACGAGTACTGCCTCCTGATGTTATAAATAACTTTAGTTACACAGGAGAGAGGATAGTACTTGCTGGTGTTAACATTGTTTTTTACTTCATCGTGCAGGTTCACGACGATTTTCGGCTGATAGTGACGGTGGGTGTGGGGAAGGAGGAGCCATCGGATCTAATACTGCTGGCACGCCCACTCTACGCCCACCCAGCCCACACCCTCCCCGCCACCCTTACCGCCCTTGCTGCCCTCATCAACGGACACCACTACCGCCACCACTGTCAGATGAATCTTCACTCTTATGCATGCTACACGCATATTTAGTGCAAACCAACATACCATATAATTTTGTGTTTTTTAATTAAGTTTCATGCGTTGACAGTCGAAATTAAAATATAGGGATATATCATGAAACATTTTCCTAAAATATTTTTTCAAGAGAAGAGGTGCCTTGATGTTGGCAAGGAGTTTTTGTTCCAAGGAATTTTAATTTCTCTACCCTTCATTTCCCAGGCGTTGTATGACTTCTGTGGACTTAACGCTTCCTCCGTGATTATAATAATAATTCTCAAAAATATATAGGATTTAGGTAAAACACGCAACGTTAGGTGATGGGGATTATAAAATGAATATTATGCTACTAAGAGTGAACAGGTTACAAAGGCAGCATTCTGACGACAGTAATAAAAAGATACTAGCATAACAATCTTTTATCTTAGCGTTTCGCTCTGTGTAGAGCATTCAAGTCAGTGACTTAATAAAGCTCTATATTGAAGCGTTGCCACAGTGAGTGCTGGCTCTGTGCTTGTCTTTTCTTCATTACTGTGAGTGTAGCCTCGACAGTACGTCATGTGGTTCTCGCTTACCATGAGGCAGGCCAGTACAACATGGGTTCGAATCCTTGGCTAGCGCAGTGTTGTTATTGATCAATACCACTCGCTCGTGGTTACAATAATATATATATATATATATGTCGTGCCGAATATGTAAAACTGGTCAATTAGCAAGATATCATTTAAAATTAAGTCCTTTCTAAAATTTTCTCTTATACGTTTAAAGATATATTTTTTTCATTAATGTTAATGTAAAAAATTTTAATTTTGCTCCAAAAGAATCTTAGAAAACTTACCTAACCTTATTATAACAAGAACAATTTATTTTAGTCGAACCCAACTAAATATATTTTAGATTTGTTTACGATAATTTAATACTAAACAAACACAGTGAAATATATTTTTTTCGTTAGGTTCAGAATGATTTTGGCGAAATTATTGCATACACAAATTTTCGCTTGTCCTATATGGCAAGATGAACGTTGCTATTTAAGCCAAGATCCCAAGTTCTGCCTATTCGGCACGACATATATATATATATATATATATATATATATATATATATATATATATATATATATATATATATATATATATATATAAAATTGTGTATCTTTATATGTTTATGCTTCTAGACTGTTGTATTCTGAGCACCTCTGCAAAAACAGTGATAATGTGCGAGTGTGGTGAAAGTGTTGAATGATGATGAAAGTATTTTCTTTTTGGGGATTTTCTTTCTTTTTTGGGTCACCCTGCCTCGGTGGGAGACGGCCGACTTGTTGAAAAAAAAAAAAAAAAAAAAAAAAAAAAATATATATATATATATATATATATATATATATATATATATATATATATATATATATATTATACTATTAATTGACTGTAAATAACAAAATAACTTAAAAGGGCTGCTTACGTTCGTGGCGGAAGACATACGGTAATACTTAGGCAAGGGTTCTTAACCTTTTTATGATTGAAGACCACCAAAAGATTGCCCACTATGTCCCCATACCCTGCTTTTCGCCAGACTGTGGAAATCGTCACCACCACCAGTCCTGTTAGGTACCAGTATGACAGGAGATGTCAGTAGCTTGATTTTACTGTACATATGGATAGCTAGAAACAACAGTTGAAAGAAAATCATAAGGACTTTATCATTTATTTATAGAAAAACGGCAATTTTTTCAGAGATAGTCCCATACCCCCATTATTTGGTTCCCATGCCTCCAAGGGATTTGGACACCCCGGGTTAAGAACCCCTGAGACTTTAGTGTTGATATTCCTTCGTACGCTGTTCAGAGTTAAAGGATTGGTTAGGTGGTGACCTCATGATAAGTTTTAGTAATAGGCACGAGAAACACCACATTACAGCAAGTCTTTTATCATATGGAGCGTCGTCACCTGTGATATACTTTCTTAGAATATGAAGTCTGAATTTACTGCATTATAAATTACTTATAAATGTTAATTTGTAGTTTTAGTATGAGTTTTTTTTTATAAATTTTAAGGTAACTTTAATATCATATTTAGTAGCATGTAATATTAAGAGATGAAACACGTAAACTGTTATACCTGAATTTGTTTGTGACAGATCTAGGCTCGTCGTGGAGACGGGCGGTGTGGCAAGTGGCGACAGCTCATACCATCATCATAGTCACTCGTTACTGGCACTCTCATCCACCCCCTGCTGCCACTCCACATCCACCCACTCTGACGCCCAGGACTCAGGTGGCCTCAACGCGTCCTCCTTCATCCCCCACCCCTACCCGTGCCACAGGCGAGCCCGGGAAGGAAACAACAGGCTACCAGGGCCTTGACGGTCACCTCAGCTTGGAGGAAGTGACTGTCACTTGGTCATGTCTCACCAAGCTCTCACTTGAACGATCACTCGATGATGAAACTCTCGTCCAGTTCTTAGGTGAGAACAGAGGCGTGTTTCTGACTACCTATTGGCAGCTATATGAATAGGGCTCTATGCATGAAATATGATAATCTGGATATTATCATTGTTATTGTAAATGATAAAGCTCGCAATTTTTGTGCGTGCCTGTGAGTTTACTATCACTTGCATGGCTGTATAATCCTCCGGGTTTAGCGCTTCCCCCTTGATTGTAATAATAATATCACTAGCATGATTTTTATGCTCGTTCGATTTTCTTTCTGTGTTGTGCAAAAACTTAGTGAACAACAGGCATGTGTGAGCGTGTTAAAAGTGAATGGAGACGAATGGTTTTTGGGCCTTGAGTTGTGGTGTGAGGAGGGTAATATTTTGTGAAGGGATTCAGGGAAAGCGGTTAGCCGGACTTGAGTCCTGGAGGTGGAAAGTACAATGTCTCCACTTTAAAGGAGGGGTTTGGGATATTTTCTGTTTGGAGTGACTTCTGAACTGTCATATCTGCGCGCCTCTGCAAAGACAGTGGTTATGTGTAAATGATGGTGAAAGTGTTTCTTTTTCGGGCCGCCATGCCTCGGTGGGAGACGACCGGCGTGTTGAAAAAAAATTATATGTATATGGTGTTGTTGACTGGTGATGCACATGTGAAATGCATTCTGAATGACCTTCGTGTAGTCGATAGGCGTTAAGCGAACAAAACCTAAGACCCCCAGTAACAGGATTAGGAACGCCATTAACATTTTGCACTAATGTTTCCCCACGATTCAGCAGTATTAGTCTTTCAATAATCGCATGGTATATTGCTCCATTTTCCAGAACCCTTACGTCCTAAACGATCGAAGAATATCGATAAAAAAGTAGTTTTCTATATTGTATCAAATAATTTTTACGGGGAAGCATTTTATAGTATTGCAGTAGTGTTTCATGATGTTAGAAGCATGACGGAATGAGAGTTGTTCTCCGCAGGAGTGATGTACGGACGGCGGGAGGCATGGCAAGAGGCAGTGTGCACCCTGCCAAGGGAAGTGGGGTTGGTGTCCAAGGAAGCTGCTCTCAGCATAGTCTCAGCACACCTCACAGCTTGTCTGCAGGATCTACACAACCTCACGCTGGTGAGACCTTGCAGCTTACATTCATTCAACTCATATTTCTCTGAAAAAACTGCAGTTTTAAAATGCATTTGTGCTATGGCGTGAGACAACAATAATGTATCCTTTATCTCTGTCGTGCAGGACGTGGAATACCGGGCCTTCCAAGAAGACCTCACTGCCATCGCTAGTGATATCTTTCCTCCATCGCCACCTGCTGAGGATGAATGAGACCTTTTTTTATTTTCATTTACATGAATAAGTGAATCTTTCAAAGCATTTAAAGCTTCTCCTGGTTTATATTGCCGATGTCTTCTTTCGTATATTATCACCTGATTAATTTAGCGAATTGATTCCCATGCCTGTTGTACTTTATCCTTGGTTCACTGACTCCAACCGTGAATGACCTTATTATAGCTCCACAAGTCACAGTTTTTCAGGACCACTATTCCATTCGATGTGACGGATGGATTAGCCCCCTCCCTCCCATCTTTTACCTTTTTTTTCTGTTTTCTGCCAGTTAATTGTCAGGATACAACACAAACAAACGAACCAAATGAAGGTGTAACATACATTATTGTAATTCATGTTTTTTTTAATCACCCTTATTTGTTAACCTATGCTAAATATTTGAGGAAAATATCAAATTCCTCTATAATGCATTTGAAATGTGAGCGCGCGCGCGTGTATATGTAACTACGAATAGATTTTCCTGGTGGGATCTAAGATGAATAAGGAACAGAATACCAGAGCCGTCGTAAATAATTTCATTTACTCTCCAAACATCATCAATCATGCAAACATTGATGATCATCAAACTTCATCATCAGTGCTAAAACAGTTTAGGAATAGTTGCCAAGCAGAATAACTGGTCTCTATATAATGCCAAAGTGTAAGATAATTTCAGTAATGCACAAATGTACTTAATGTAGCTTCACTTCCAATTACGCGTTCTGTTAATTCACTAAGACAATTAAATACATTGGAAAGCGCTACACCCAGAGCGGGTCATAGCGCCTAAGAATGGGTGGTAATTTCAATTAATTCAGGGAAAAGGAGGGTAGGCTTAATTTCTAGGATAAAGAATCTTTCACTAGTATCGACTCTCCTATCATGGAGGGTAATACACCCAAAGAATAGTATTTCAAACTTTTATTGATTTTAGTTATTCAGTGATTATAGCTTCCTTGCAAAACATTGTGCAATCTAATAGTATTTATCTTTAACTTCATGAAGTACCTTTCAGTTAGCTATAAGGTAACTGATAATAAAATCAGTAACTACAGTTACTGATTTTATATATTTTATACTGATATTATATTGAGTAAATTCTCGAAAGTCCAGCGTTTACTAGCGCGCTCCACTAGGCTTTCCTTGTTTAGCAAACAACACAAATTCCAATATACATGGCTTAGTGACTCGACTAGCCCACACGGGAGTGAGGGCTGGTGGACTTACTAAACCAAACCAACAAGGTTATTAAGAACACTGATTGCTTTTCCTACTGCAGCGGAATAATAAGCCTTTTAAGATTCTTTAAGTGCGAGATGTTCACGATGCACGCTCGTTCATATTCATGTGTAAAACTGTTTAAATAACATGTTTCGAGTTCGTATTTATTGTTGAATTTCTGTGAATAAGTTGGGGAGAGGAAAAGAGGGGGAATGATAGATCTACAATGATTCAAGGCTCAAGTGTCTTGGTGCAAAGAATGTGTCGGACTGGAGGCTGAGGTAAACGTGCGTATACTATTTTTTTTTATTTAAAACAATACAATACATTAAATAGATGAAAGAACCTAGTATCAGTTCTTACCCCGAATTATAAGTTACATTGTCAAGATACACACAGACGTTTAACTCTGTGCTGACACAAACTGTCCCTCATCCCCTATACATTATATCCCATGCACCTATGTTAAGCAAGATTACACAAGACTACATTACAATAAGCATTATAATTATTATTAACAAAGAAGCACCAAACCTACAATATGCATTTATTTTCCACTTTGTTATTTATATATTATGAATCCTTCATATATAAATGTACATAAACAAATACACGTACAACAAGAAACAACACGAACTATAAGGAATGGTTCCAGTACTCAATCTATTGGGTTACACACTGTAAGAAATGACAGTATAACACTTTCTTTAACTTACACAACAGATACTCACCCACTCCTGAGAGCAATTATAAGAATGAACAAAACAAAATTACAGTACCCCTCAAAAAGTATACTTTCACTGACCTGAATATACAAATAAACCCCGTTCTTCTGACCTTTAATATACACAACACACCACACGATTATGACATTGTCCCCTCATAATTGAATATTAAACAACATATGCAATTGTACACTTTTGATTACAAGGAAAATGTGTGTGCTGTCTCGATTGCCATTACATCCTACACAACACCATTCACAACTCGCTACTGACGATCACATCGTCCAATATAGACATTCGTATGGATCTAGATAATTCCGTGCGCACACCGACCACCCTGCTGGGTGAAGTGTGCTGCTTCCTGTTATCTCCCAGAAACCTAAAAGTAATAGACACTAATTCAACGCTCTAAAACAAGTGGCACCTTTTTACTCAGAAATGTAGAATAAAACACCTAAATGCAGTACCTACATGACACAATAAAGTTAACTACAAATACAGCTAATACACATACTCCTCAACAGGCATTACACTTGCAATATATATTATGCCAACAGTCACGTTACAGACACTTGTAATAATTATACTCTAAATCCAAAATATTATTATGATAATCAAAAAGAAGCGCTAAGCCACAAGGGCTATACAGCGCTAATACAAAAAGCAATCCTGAGATTAGCTTATATGTAGTTCAATTTCACAATGGATACTTATAAACAAATGATATTCCTCACCTTAATGTATATTTGGTAATCATCTTATGACTAAAAAGCTGTCACCCACCATATTCTCCTGTCCAAATATGCACTCACACACACGTATACTTTTATAAATACATCTATGTATATTTCCGTACATATGCACACATATATATGTACACACTCACGCACCTACATATTTATGTAAACATACCCCTCAAGGAAGGTTCCTTGATGTTGGTGAGGGGCTCTTGATTTAGGGAATTGGATCTGTGCTCCAGTTCCCCGAATTAAGCCTGAATGCCTTCCACATCCCCCCCCCCCAGGCGCTGTATAATCCTCCGGGTTTAGCGCTTCCCCCTTGATTATAATAATAATATGTAAACATACGTTTCCATCTCTGCCCCATCATAGCCAAGGAAAAACACCTTGAATCAATGATGTCACACAAACAGCGTAATACGCTTTCCCCTCACGCACTCTTCCATATATTACCCAATATTATACGTACCTCACCTGTTGTTAGGTAAGACACATATGCAACAGTTAGGTATCTTTATTTCGGTATTTTATACCATTTTAACGTACCTCACCTACATTCTTGCCAACTCACACCCACACGCCTCATAACGGGAGGCTAGCCCGTTGCTTCCCATTGACCTACAAAGTCCATAAATCACACAGCCGAAAATTCCTATAACCCTCTGCAAATTCAGTGTTCCATCTCCTACCATATACTTCCCGATTGGGGCACTTAGATCTGTAAAATGTCGCCGCTAGCACCTTTATCCTTTCACCCGCTCGTACATCTCTCATTGCCCATGATGTAAACACGAAATCAGTTACCAGATATGCCACTGTGTTTTTAACCTGCGCTCCCACCCCTTCAATATCTAAACTTAACACTCGCAATACCTGCAACCCACCCCCTCCCATAAATCGAATTACCCTTCCAAACCATTCCCTGACCCTGCCTATGCATTCACAAAAATATACAACATGAAAAATGGTTTCTACTTCACCACACGCTCGACACTCCCCGCCTTCCCTGAGTTTTCGATTAAATAAGACGATCCCAGACAGCAGAATCCCGTGTAAAAAGCGATACATCACCTCTCGTACACCCGGACTAATGCGTAACTTCCGGAGACGTTCCCATATGTCGCGCCAGGCATACATCGGGTATGCTCCTTCCACAGGAGCCACCTCCAACCCTCCCCCACTCTCTCGATTATGCGCAGCAAACGTGCGTATAAGGACTAATTTTTACGAGGCAACACGGGTCCACTGGTTACAAACTTTACCTTACCTAGACCAGTAGTATTAGTGCTCTTCCCATCTTGGTGTCAATACCAAATGCTTAAAGATGCATAAACAATTCTAGTTCTAAAATAATTTTCACGTAAGTATTGTACAACATTTCCTATTACTAAAAGGTAGATACGTATTTTATATACTGAAATATATTACGTAATAAATTTAGAGTTGAAATGTAATTCTTATACCTAAGTAATAATCTGGCAAGTGTTACCAGATTAGTTCTTGGAATGTTATCAAGTATTCCACGAGTAGTGGTTCTTTGAGTTGTATATAGTTTCCAACAAAATTTGGTATATCAGCAGGATTCTGCTACCCTATTCTATGATAGTATTACGGGTTTAGCACTTATTTTTTAAAGAATATTGATAACACTGGTCAACAACAACAATAAATTAGTTGTCAAAGATATCTGAAGGCATTTGGGGTTGCTGAATTCGAAAATGTCAGTATGTTTTTCAAGTGGCTCTAGTTTGTGAGATATAGCATACCTACCCTCAGTTAACAGGGAACTTAGCCATAACGCTTGTATATGTATATGTAGTGACAATCTGTATGTACAGATAGTTTTAATAAAAATTTGAATTTTATTTTTAAATTATTTAATATTAAACGACAGTAGTTGTATCAACAACGACCACGGGACGATATTGTAATCTTTATTTTGTAATTTTTTCCAGGTAATATAACATAATTATTTCTTCAAGTACATGTACAAGGTATACAGGTCTACCTGACATCAATGACATACTACTGTATAGAAAGCCCCTTGGTGTGCAGGGCATTTCAGGCAAATTAGGTCAGTTTTGTCCCAGGATGCGACCCACACCAATCGACTAACACCCAGGTACCCATTATTACTGATGGATGAACATAGACAACCGGTGTAAGGAAACACGCTCAATGCTTCTACCCTTGCCGGGAAAACAAGACAAGTCTTGGGCTCCCCATATGGTTTGCAAAACCTGTGTAGAATGCTTACCACGGTGGAAAAATGGGCAAAGAAAAAGTTTAAACTTGGGTGTGTCTATGGTGTGGAGAGAACCGAAAAACCACCAAGACGATTGTTATTTTTGTGTGGTGAATGTTTGAAAGGTTTCAATCGAAACAAGAAAGTCAGGTGGGAATATCCTGATTTGGAGTCAGCAAGGAGACCTGTGCCACACAGTGATGACGTTCCCATACCAGTGTTTACAACACTGCCTGACCTTCTGTTGTCAGATGCTGAAGAAACTCAAGGTTTAGGGTGTAACACAGGTGAAGTGAATATAAAGTAAACATTTCAACACCCCAGCAGTTCTCCCTAGAGCAACTCAATGATATGATACGTGACCTCAGTCTGTCAAAAGAAGCATTCGAACTTTTAGCATCCAGACTAAAAGAAAAGAACTGTCTATAATAAGAAGTTAAAATAACAGCTTATCGGACACGAGAGACTGAACTCCTTACTTCAGCCAAGATGAAGAACTGATATACTACAATACCATCCCTGGACTTCTTCGAATGAGACTTGAATATCGACCAGGAGATTGGTGGCTATTTTTAGATAAGTTCCATTAGGAACCTCAGTGGTAACCAAAATGCATCTCTTCCAATTGCTCGCTCAACAAAACTGTGTAGATGACCAACATAGAAGAAAATCGTACAACGTTTTCATATGCAGTAATTAGTAATTATGTTCATCTGTTATTATATAGAATGAAGTGCTAGAATGTATTACGTGATTTGACTTTTGCATGATCTAAAAAAATAATTTCAGTGAGATTTGTAAGTTAACCCTTCCTGATCAAAATATTTTTCACGTCTTTTGTTTTCAGCGGGATACCAAATTTATCAAAAACTAGAGCCTATCAAGCAAAACCGATGACGTATTCGGAATCAGCACTACAAACCTACCCTAAAATCGATATACCCTAAAATCGGTATAATAGTTACATCGCGAGGACGACAGCTTGCTGTCTCGATGTTTTCCACCCAATGATGGAGCTGGGAGATCTTCATTTGGGCAATAAGTAAATCAAGTATTCGTTTGAGGATGCGTCAGCTATGGCAACATCAAAGGTTATGTGTCTAGCAGAGTTGGAGTTATTGTTACTTGGGAATTACCATCTGTCAGGGTGGCCTATCGTATACACAGGAGAAATGTAAATTTTATGAAGAGATGTCAATCACAGACGAGTGGAACAAAAATTATATACAATAGAGGAAAACAAGTAGGTAAGGAATTCGAGCTACATTATGTATCTAAGACTGTATATAGTATATATCTATATAAAACAATGCAAATTTACTGTTGAAACAGCTTCTCGACATTTTAAGACTATATATCTAAGAATACATATTAATAAAAGTAAATTCATGTGTTGTTTAAAAAACTACTTCATTGTGTATTAAAAATATGTAAGAGGCTTTAATGCGCAATGTGGAATAACGAAGTAAATCTGCAATTTATAATATAAGAGCCTGCAGAATATAATAGTACAGTATATTAATATTTTAATATAATGTTGAATTTACTTGAATTTGAAATAAAGTCGTGATCACAGTTTTGTTGGAAGTATTTTACTTATGTCTTTATACTGACATTCTCACACTTAGCACCTTGCAGCCCTTCCGGCTGAATAGATATGCAAGGCTTGAGGGGGGGGTCTCACCACTCAATATTTGTGTCGTGGCAACTGGGATTTGGCCCTCTTCCCACTCTTACGTCGCTCAGTACGTACAGACTTTTTTTTATGGCGAGGGGGTTTACTCAAATGCAGAAAGCGTAAACCTCAGTAACCGTAATAAACTCCTGCGCACTGTTTCCTCCGTAACTCTGAATGTCCTCCGTCATAATGCTAATAAGTAGTTACGTAATAGGTTCAAGTACTGTTAAGTGAAATAATAAATTGCACCTGCCTACCGTCCATTTGTACCATCACCCTTCCTTTCCTTCGTTAAAATTTTAACTGCCAATAAGAACGTAAACTCCCCTTACCTTTGTAATAGTACCTTTAACATAGTAACAGTCTCGAAACTCATCCACAATCGTCACGGTGCTAGAGCACTAATAACATGGGAGATTTCCATAGTAATATTTTGGGGAAATAACACTTTAGAACAGTAATAACAAGTGTGGGGAGATCTTGAGAGCAGTAATAACAGGTATTGGGAAGGGGCACATAAAGGAAGTAACAACAGGTTTGGGAGGGAGGCACATAAGAGCATTAATAACAGGTGTGGGGGCGAGGCAGTGTCTGAGGAGAATATTCACGGATATAAGAGGCACAGTGAGGCTGAGATGTTTGCAGTCATTGAAAAGACCACAAATTGGCCGTTAACTGTTAGTGGGACGGGAAGGTAAGAGGGAATGCAGAAGAGGAACATGTGTGAAGGGGGAAAGATGCCAGGTGTTTAGGTATTCACCACTGGAGGGGAGAGACGCCGGCTGTAGGAAGAGATGCCAGATGACAAGATATAAACCTAACCAGAGAGAAGCCATACTAGGACGATATGTCGGGTCAAAAGAGTTTGTGCGATAGACAGGGAAATAAAACCAGATGACTTACACAGACGACAAAAATAAAACCATGTTAAGAGATTTCGAGAAAAGATGTGAAGTACTAGGAAAGAGAGGCCTCAAGTGAGGAGAAACATTTCGAGTAAGAATAGCGAAAAACATCGGTTGAAAGCAAATCAAAAGAAAAATGAGGTAAGACATCACTTGGGAAAAGACACTAGGTAATGAGATGGATTATTATTATTATAATCAAAAAGAAGCGCTAAGCCACAAGGAAGTAATGAGATGGATAAACATGTCGGAGAGAGATGTACCAGAAAAAGTTGAAAAATGCCAGGTGAGGGAACGATTGGGCCAGTGAAACATCAAACAGGTGAATGAAATCACTGAACAATTATGCACTGCTAAAAAGACTACTAGATAGACGTGATGAAAAAGTAGTATTAGGCGGGAGTAAATATTTATAACATTGGCAGTCAGAACTGGCTGGCGCTTGGCAGGGAGATTATCTGTCCTGGAAAGCAGGCTAGGATTAACCACCTGAGGTATAAGCGTTATTTAAGAATATAAAGCTAGATAACCTAAGAACTTCCTTTGTTAGATGGTAAGGAGTGTAAAAAATTCAAGTGTGCGAAATAAGCTGGCATCTACTTGGCGAGGGAAAAATTTGGAGACCCGTTCGTTTCCGGAGACTCCCAGTTTAGCTTCTCATCAATGACGGGTTGTCGACGAAGGCAGTTGGCGGACGTATAATCATGCATTTGCAAAATGATCTGCTAAACATATAAGATAAATTCTTTGGTTACATACATTTGCAAAAAACTGTATATTAGCGAAGATGAATAACGTACAGCTTGTCAAGTGAGGGAGGGAGATAGGCCGCCACGTGCCCAGCTACGTACCCGTGGCGGCTGCTCAACCTCACTCGCCCTCAACCACCACACAGCCACCATCACTTTTTCTGTCCACACCCCACCCTACACCATGGAATTTACCCTAAAAATAATGCGTGTGTGAAAGAAATTATTAGTTGAACAAGTTACCATGAACCATGTTAAATTTTATATAAACTGCCGATTTTCGTTGAATGCATTAATTTATCTTTAAGGTTGCATAAGTTGTTGTCGAATGCAGTGACTAGATGTGGCCGATTAAAAGAGCAATAGCATTACAAGGGGCACCTTCAAGGAAAGTGCCTTGATGACGGTAAGGAGGGGGGCTTTTACTCCTAGCAATTGAGTTTTATCTTCCCCTTCCATGGATCAAACATGAATGCCTCCCATTCCTCAGGCATTTATGACCCCTACGGGTTTAACACTTCCCCCGATTAAAAAAATGAAGCGGGGAATTCCCTGCTATATTTTTTTCAGTATTCCGGAGAAATTACGAACAAAAGGAAAAGTTACTCTGGAGTAAAGAGCTTACAAGAAGAATGTGGCACGTCGGTGAGTGATTTTTGATGTGGGTGGCACGATACTTGAAATAGCTCGGCGTCTGCCCTCACGTACAGTGCGCCCCAGATCCTCACTTGGGTCGTGGCCTCTACCTGGGCTCACGGCCTCGTCTGCCTCTCCACACACACCCTCCTCTTGTGTTGCGTACCATGTGTTACTCTCAGTTACTCATTTTCTACACTTCTTCCTCTACTTCCTTAAGGAGAAATACGTGAGGGTCATCAGATGTTTCTCACATCTCTCACGCTAAACATTCTCCAAGACCCACGACGCCTCCCCATGATTCTTGTATTGTAATAGATTTGTGGCGTACCTATCCCGTACGAAGTGTTCACTGAAAAATGTGTGGAATGTGACAACACGATATAAAATTGGTGTTACCTTCTTGGAATGTTGGTGAAGAGATAACTTTTTTTTAAAGTTTGTTTTGACCGAGTTACAGAAATAAGTATTTCATAGAAAATCAAATAGTCCAGCTATATATTTATGTGACTTATTAAACGACCATAACAATTTGTAAGTAACACTGAAAGTAAAATTGGCTAGAGTTATAAGCTGTTGCATTTAACCATGAATATTATTTGTTAATCGTATCATTTTTAGTCTTTCCTCATAGAAAAAATTTTTTTTAGTGAAATTTTCAGAAAATATACTTAAAATGAAAATATACTTAGTAATAAAAAAAATCCAGTGTAAATCATGCGAAAATATCGGAACTGCTTTTTTCTGTTGGCACGAAAGTAGTGAGGTAGAGTGGCATCATGCAGACACTAAAGCTGGCAAGACCAGGTACAACAGGTGAAGAACTTCACACGTGAACATTGCAAGACCCACCCCATCACCCTAGCCTAGTTGTCCCCCACCCAACTGCCTGATCAGTGTCGCTGACTTGTGCTGTGGTCACCATCCCAGCAGTCTTATTGTTGTGATCTTGCCTTCAACTGCTTCTTAGTAACTGTCCTGTATGCAGACTGTGGTGAGTATCCCTTGAACCCTCGTGAAACTTCTTAAGATCTCTCCGAACCTCAACAGTGAGTCAGCGGCCATAACTAATATTTGCAGACCTTTGTGGAGTGTGGCTTGACATAGTGTATATACACCAAAAGGTATACACTCCTCACTATATTTAAATTAATTCTAATCTGTATTTTAGAATTTAAGGTGTTCTCGACTAGTTAGTAGTGTGTAGTGCAGATGAAATGTAGCCTTGAGGTTTCAAGCTATTACAAGTGAGTATGTCTTAATGTTAATTTAGAACCCTATTCTGTGTATAGATCTTGTTTACTAAACTTAAATATAATTTCCACATTTGTATGCTATTTTCTTCTGGAGTTACGTGACCAGAAATATTGTACATCGTATTTTCAACTAAACATGAATAAAATAATTTTTTGTTATTCGTATTCTCCAGACAAGCTCTATATCAGTCATTTTATTAAATGTAAAAATATATACTATCATTTTTTTAGTTTTAGTATGAAAATGGTGACCATTTTATTTGTTAATTTTGAAGAATATCAATCACACTAGTATCACAGGCTGGATTTCAGCTGCACACCAACAGTTAAGAATACATTTATCCCTAAAATATATAAAAAAGTAAAGTATATATGCAGCAAGGGAGATATACACCATTCGGTGTATATATAACTGGAAATGATACCCTAGTGTTGAGTAATATGGATGTTTTCCAAACTCTATTTCCTTTACCTCGGTGGTCTAAACTAGTTTTCAGAGCATCATGGGTTGTTATTGTAACTAAATATATAAAAAATATAATTATATGTAATTCGGTAGACATATACACATGTATATCAACATATACGCAATTTAATCCCTGTTCATTATTAAACACAAATAATATATGTTTTATAGGGTAAATGCACTCATAGGGTATACACGCGTATATATAAACTAAGTTTACCTTAATACAGATATATATATTCTTTTGAGTATAAAGTATTCGTTAGGTTAGTGTGCAAACGCGACAGTATTAAACTTCAACAAAGTAAAAACAAGGGAGTGTTGTATGACTGCACCCACTCTCAGTGCTTTATCTTTGGTGAATATTCTTCATATCTCTAACCCTCAAGGGAGGTTCCTTCACGCTGGTGAGGGGCTCTTGATTTAGGAAATTGGATCAGTGCTCCAGTTCCCTGAGTTGAGCCTGAATACCTTCCATTCCCCCCCCCCTCACAGGCGCTGTATAATCTCTACAGGTTTAGAGCTCCCCCATGATTATAATAATATCACATCTATACATCAGATATACTTTCCAGCTGTGATTTTTTTTCGCCAGATAGTCACAAATTCGATAGTTTTTTAAAAAATATATGATACCTTACCTGAAATACATTCCTGATTCTTAAATGGTTAATTCAGAGATGAATCTTCAATAAACATTTGTTGTATGAGAAATTTTGATGCCAGTTTATTTGTTACCGGCGTATAAGTTGTATTGACTCATTAAAGTATATCCATAGTTAAAATGTACACATTTCAATGATTGCATAAGAGTGTTGATGTGGGAAAAAGTTATTGAACCCCATTTATAATTTTGACAATATTCGTTTTCCAGCAGTCGCGCCATTTTCTGTTGTCAGTGATGATGACAGCTTCATCAAATTCACATTTGATTTATTGTAACGTGATCATAATTTTAGTACTACAGTAGATTATGCCAAATTATAATTTCATGATTTCTTTGATACCTAAAAATATTTGCTGTGAGAGAGTCGCTCTGCCACCTGGTGTGTGGAGAGGAAAGGTCTTGGTAAATATGTCGAGTAAACACACCATATGTGAGAGAGTTGGTGATGTCTCACCATGGAGGTCATGAACTTTGGTAAGTGTGCATTTATGAAATTTTGAAAAAAAAAAAAAAATTAACACATTAAATCATTATGTATGCCCTCTATGGATTTAGTGCCTCCCCATGAATGCAATAATAATACAGAGTTGACAAGAATACCGTGCAAGGTAATTGTGATCGTTATTTATCACCATGAATAATATGTTCTGCATCACAGACCATAGGAAGCCTACGGTATTTTTTTTTTATTCTCTGACATATTGAGGAAGGTCAGTCAGGAATGATATGAATAGAGGTATTGCATATTCCTACACCTAATTTTTTTTAACACACCCATACAAAGGATTACTCCACAGATTGGTAATACACGTAGGTGTGTTAAGTATAGCTATCGAAAGGCTTAAGGAAAATTTCAGAGACTGAGAGTCACCGTGAGATATGAAATATACTGTCGAATGTATAATTTGCTCCCCCAACATCTCTTAACAGTTAGTATTAAGCCTTATGCTGTTCCTTGTACATGTAAACAACGTGCCAGTTTTGGTAGATTCATACATGGTAAACACGTTAGCGGATGCTCTTTAACGAGTGGGGGATGACGGGGGGCGGTGGGGTAAGGAGCGTTCTCGTGCTGATGGAGAATTTTTGATCCAAAGGATTTGAGCTACCTCTTCCTTGGATCAAATCTGATTACTTCCCATTTCCCTCGCGCTATATAACCCCTACGGGCTTAGCGCCTCGCCATGATTACAAATTAGTTTGTGGACGATGACAAACTTCTTTCGAGACTGGAAACGGAAGACTTAAGAAATCAAGGAAGGATTGGTAGGCTGCAGGAGTGATAGAATGGTGCCTCCCTGAGTTCAACAACAGCAGTCTCGCCAGCCTTGATGTCAATGGGGCTCTAGATCCTAGAAACTGGAGCTGTCCTGCTCTTGGATCGAACCTGATTGCCTCCTATTCCGTAGGCAATATATGATCCCTACGGCTTTAGAGATTCACTATGATTATAATACTAATCAACACGAATGTAATGGAACTGGAGGCCGAAGAGTACCAGATCTGTACTACCTGAAGGCAATTGCTTATAGAACCTGACGAAGGCAAGCGCCCGCAAGTATACATGCCACACTTGTCATATGAAGCACAAACAAATAAAACTTATCAGATATATATGTAGAGTTATCAAAGATAAAGATGGCCTTCAGAAACCTGAACAAAACTCCTTCAAACTACGTTTCACTGCGTGTACCAGTGTTCAAGATCGCGGAATACTTAGCTAAACTAATAGAGTAGTCTGAAAAAGTTTTTTTTTTTATATTTTATTTAAAGCAATGCAAATACAAAGTGATATAAAGCACAGAACAGATTAATACACAAGAATCCAACACAGTGACACCTCAACCAGGTCGTCTAAATACATGCAAAAGATTAATATTATATAGAACACACAAGGCAAAAGTTATGAATGAACTAGTTCTCGTATCACTGAAGCGCAGATTAAAAGGGCACTTAATCATAAAATATACCTGGACATAGGCAGGGTAAATGAGGACAGAGTATGGGAAGGCCAATTTCGAAGGAATACAGATGAAAGCTGTACCTAAACTAGCCATATCGACGTTAGATTGCATTTTTGGAATGAGTAGTAAAAATGGAACGAGAAAAAAGTTACGATGTTGTAGAAGGTAACTTCGTAGAAAGATTTAAACTACAACACAGCTGAAAATTACCAGGCGTTCTGAGAGCTGATCCTCAACCCTCCAAAGTGAAATTAGTAATTATACATTCATACGAATATTAACAGCAGTATTTGTAATTTATCACTGCTGACAAAAGGTGCTTAAGATAGTTGATTCTTCGTTAATACTAATGGAGCAGGAAGTATTCAGTATCAGATACTCTTATGATGTATGCTTAAGATGGTTCTATCAACTTCAGAATACATGGATATATGCGAAGGTGAACCTCCCATAGCATGTATTTTAAGATTTTACTTCAATATTGAACTTTTTACGTATAAAAAAGAAAGATTGCGGCATTAAAACTTAACAGCTAAAAATTAATACTGTATTCAACACTTGATTGATGTAATTTGCGGGATTTAATTATTTTATATAATAAATGTCGGAGGATCTCACCTTCAAGGACCATAACATTGTATCAATCGCATCTGCTAGAAAAATGACAGGATGGATAATGAGAACCTTCAAAACTAGGGATGCCAAGCCCATGGATGACACTTCAAGTCGCTTGTTCTATCTAGGCTGGAATATTGCTGCACACTAACAGTACCTTTCAAGACAGGTGAAATTGCTGACATAGAAAATGTAGAGAGAACCTTCACGGCGAGCATAACGGAGATAAAACACCTCAATTACTGGGAGCGCTTGAATTTCCTGAACCTGTACTCCCTGGAACGCAGGCGGGAGAGATAAATGATTATATACAACTGGAAAATCCTAGAGGGACTAGTACCGAACTTGCACACGAAAATCACTCACAACGAAAGCAAAAGTCTCAGCAGACGATGCAACATCCCCCCCAATGAAAAGCAGGGGTGTCACTAGCACGTTAAGAGACAATACAATAAGTGTCAGGGGCCCGAGACTGTTCAACTGCCTCCCAGCATACATAAGGAGGATTACCAATAGACCCCTGGCTGTCTTCAAGCAGGTACTGGACAAACAACTAAAGTCGGTACCTGACCAGCCGGGCTGTGGCTCGTACGTTGGATTGCGTGCAGCCAGCAGTAACAGCCTGGTTGATCAGGCTCTGATCCACCAGGAGGCTTGGTCACAGACCGGGCCGCGGGGGCGTTGACCCCCGGAACTCTCTCCAGGTAAATATGGAATAGGTTTAATCTGATGAGTCATTGAAATAAGCGTTAAGACGTCCGTAGATTATTATTGGGTATTTTGCATTCCGCTATTTGTAATCACACCAAATTATACTCTCGTTAAAGGAGCCTTCTTGATGCTGGTGAAGGGCTCTTGGTCCAAGGATTTGGTCTTGTCCATCTCTTCGTTGGATCGAACCTGATTGCCTTCGTTTCTCCAGGCGCTGTATGATCCCTGTGAGTTTAGCGCTTCCTTCTAAATGTAATAACAACCCAATTATCTCACTCATTATTTGTTGAGTCTTTAATTGGTTTCTTAAGTTGT